CTGTACAACAAAAATCAAATGGTATTGAGATAAATTGATCAAGTTATGTTGAAATTCTCCACTTTGTACATGTATGCCACATAAAAAGATTTGTACAACACAAAAACCCAAAAACACATAATCCCTGAAATTAAAATTCTAAATCAAAGCATATTAATTAATGTATTTGATTGTGTTTATCTGCAGTTAGTTACACGAATTCAGTTATGGGATGAAATCGGATAGGGATGAACGGGTTTAAGAGTTTTAAGAGTTTAAGAGTTTTTAAGAGTTTTAGCCAAATGCATTATAATATAGTATAGATTAAGAGTTTTTAAGAGTTTTAGCCAAATGCATTATAATATAGTATAGATATATATATATATATATATATATATATATAATAATAATAAAATATATTATATTTTGATTTGATTTTGACTTGGTTCAAGTTTCAATAAATTTCATACCCCTATTAACCCCTAAAAAAATGTTTTAAGAAACAAAATTAAACCCCCTTCCACCAGAGCATAGATTTGATGATGAAAAAAAGATTTAAAGAAAATAACAAGATTCAGATAAAGAAAAAGAAGAAGATGTTGATGATGAATGATCAAAATTCAGAAAAGAAGCCCAAAACTAAAACAAGATTATCAAAGACGATGATGATCAACCACATGCATGCATTATATATATATATATATATATAGAGAGAGAGAGAGAGAGAGAGAGAATACACTTACAGAATAAGCATTGGGAGATCCAATAATAGTTTCTTTCAGTTGGATGATTGAATAATATTGGGTTGGATGGATGGGATGTGTTTGGATCTCCTCCAGAGACCTTAAACAAGAATGAACAATACCAATTGTTAATTCAACAAAACCCACACCAACAAATTCAAGAAAGTAATCAAGAACCAGAATCAAAAACCCATAAAGGAATACGAAGAAACCGAAACAGAATCAAAAACCAGATCATCGATTTCTTCAGATATTGCGATTGAAGTTGGTGAACCAAGAAAGATGATGGAAGTCTCTGTTCTTCAAACCCAGAAAGATGATGGAAGTCTCCTTCTGCTCTTCTTCTCTCTCTCTCTCTCTCAAGACTCGGTGGTGTTGAAATATGGAAGAAAAGAGACGGTGATTTGTTTTATACCCAACATCCATTCCAGAGTATTCCTCCTGCTCTCTCTCTCTAGACTCGATGTTGAAATATGGAAGAAAAGAGACGTTGATTTGTTTTAAACCCAACATCCATTCCAATCCAGAGTATTCCTTCTACTTCTATTTCTATTTCTATTTCTATTTCTATTTCTATTTTCTTTTAATTATAAATTCTATTATAATTTTTTTATTTATATTCAAGTAGCTGTGTGTGTCTGTGTAGTATTATTACATAGGTTATGTTGCTTTATGCATGCATGCCACTCTATTACATGCTTTTTATTATTGCTATTATTAATAAACAAAAATCATTACAAATTAATATCGTTTAATTATACATTATATGTTTTAAACCCGATATTTTTTTATTTCTTCGATTTAATATTATTGAATTTATACGAATATATACATTAGACAATTACACTATTATGTATGTTTTTCATATACACATATTTTCAATCTATTCGCATCTTTATATAACTCATTCATATATTACTTAGTTATTAAAACCAAATCGGTTATGGATTTTAACGTTTTCTAGGACCGAGATCGGTTAAGACCGGATTTTGGCCATCTCTATTCTGAATTTAACTCTAAAGTGGCCTCCAGACTTACAACATAACTCTAGAAAAATTCAAAGTTGTAAGTCTGAATTTAAGTATGAATTTAACTCTAGAGTGGCCTCCAGACTTGCAACATAACTCTGGGAAAATTCAGAGTTGTAAGTCTGAATTTAACTCTGGAGTAATCATCAAAACCGGGTTTAAAATTTCAAATTCGGATGCCACTCAAGCTCCACCCCAGCTAGGGCGCTGCCCCTTGGACCCCGCCACCGGGGGCAGCGCCCCCGGACCCCCGTCGTTTAATCAAAATAAACTCAAACAAGTGTGGACTTCACACATTCCTTATTTGTTTTATATTTATCATGATTACATTGGTCAACAATTTAATCCCATTACACTTAAATGACATTAGTAATACAAATCACCAACATGAAGTCATCAGATATTGATTATTTCTCAGACTTACAACATAACTCTGAATTGTTTCGTTCCAAACTTAGTTATATAGTTTATTCCCAAACTTAGAATACAACTATGAACTACTCTTCAGTGTTGAAGTTCAGAGTTACGTTTCTGAGTTATAAGAAATCAGAATTCTTGTGACTCAGAGTTATGCTCGTAGATACTTTCTAGACTTAGAAGACAACTTTGAATTCTTCTTATTCAAATTTAAGCCCAGAGTTATTTTCCAGCCTAACAATAGAACTCTGAATTCTTGTGTTTCAGAATTAATGTTCAGAGTTTTCTTTCAAAGTTAATGTCTAGAGTTTTCCTCATTAAAATATCTCGTGTAATACACGGGGTCGAACCTAGTATGTATGTATATATATATATATATAGGAAATGTTCAAATGAGAACCCCTGTGATTTACGAGAGCGCGAGAACAACTTATTAACCTCATATTGTGATAACAATTAAAATTAAAAGATTTTTTAAATTAAAATTGAAATTTAAAACGATTTAAAAAAAATTGAGATTTGAAAGTGTTATTATAACATAAATCAAAATCATACAATTTATCACAACGATTACGGGCGAAATCGACTAAACGATTTAGTGTGATATGTGTATGATAATCATCTGATATCACTATCATAACAGCGCATTCGATTTGATCATAATTTCCATCGGTTACGGTTAGATAATCACACATTTATCACAACGATTACTCATGGTTTCGATAGGTTAGGATTAGATAATCACACATTTATCACAACGATTACGGGCGAAATCCACTAAACGATTTGGTGTGATATGGGTGTGATAATCATGTTATATCACTATTATAACATCACTTGCGCACTCAATTTGATCATGGTTTCGATCGGTTAGGGTTAGTCAATCACACATTTACACAAAGATTACTCATGGTTTCGATAGGTTATAGTTACACTCGATTGATCATAGTTTCTATAGGTTATTGTTACACAATCACACAATTATCACAAGAGAAGAGAAGAGAGTGGAAACGAACGTGATCAATAAAAAAAAGGAATAATTATAATTAATTAAAATAAAATAAAAATTATAAAAATTACTTAATTACATTATTGTCCTTATAAAATTTATATTAATATAAGTTAATTTATTAGTTAAAAAAGTTTGAGATTATGGGTTGTTCTCGTAAATCACAGGGGTTCTCGTTTGAGCCTCCACACACACACACACACACACACATATATATATATATATGAGCGATCAAATGCAAACCACCCAATTTGTACAACTGTGCAAACCACACTCATTCGTCGATTTCATTGTTTAATCTTATGAAATTTTTTCATGAAATTGTTTAATCTTGTGAAATTATTTCATATAATACTTTTTTTGATAAAGTTGTTTCATATATGGTTATGAAATTTTAATGAAACTGTTTCATGTATTTCTCTAAAATTAAAATAATGAAGATGATAATATCCATGA